GAAAGCCGCTCAAACACCCGGAGAGGCTGGCCCGGGTCAAAACACCAGCCTTACAAGGGAGAGGTGGGTGTGGCAGTGACATCATAAAGGCCTGTTGCAGGACCTCAGCCTATTGGGGGACGGTGATGGGGAGGGGGTGACCTCACAGAGCAACTATGACATCAGCCAGGCAGGGCAGAGGGGCAAGGCAGGGGCAGCCCCAGAGACTCGCGTGGCTTTGCAGCAACAAGGCTCCATCTCCAGGTCTGTCCTTGGGGACGGAGAGAGAACTAGGGTTCATGTAGGTGAGCGTGAGGAGGAGCCTCCTCGGAGTTTTCTCCTTCCCCACCACTGATTTTGTTGTTCCTGTCTAGAAGGTGAGAGCCTCAGAGAGGTTCTGATCCTGTCACCAGGTGCCCGAAGCTCTGCGGGGGCTGTGCCCCTGAAGGTGCCTCTGATGGGATGTAGAACCCCACACTGGGCCAGGAGGGGTTGGGGAGCAGGCCTGGGCTGATCCTGCCCTGCAGAACCTGCTCCAGTGGGAGGAGGCGTTTCAAAGGGAGCCGGTCATGGGGTGTATGTTCCCGCACGCTCGCTCAGAAACCAAAGGGTTAATCCAGGCACTGCCAGCCACTGCTGATTGGCAGGCTAATAGCAGCTGGGACGGCTGGCAGGGCTGCCAAAGGGGAGTGAGCAGGCAGGAGAAAGGAACTCCAGTCAGCAGACTGCTGGAGAGCCAGCAAGGGAGAGCCTCCAGCAACGGGCGAAGAGGGCAACAGACCAACCCCCTGACAGGCCTGAGCACAGAGGGGAGGCCTTCTGAGTTGGGTGGCCACAGAGAAATGGCAGTGGTGCAGAGTCCGTTCCCCGGTGGCTGGAAGCAGCTTGTCCCTCCCTGCCTGCCTGCAGAGTGGAGAAGGGCAGCTCACGCCCCGCATGCTGCTGGCCACCCACGTAGCCCAGCGACCTTCTGGGGGGCACAGAGGGGCCCCCCCCACCGTGCCCAGGAGCCTGCAGTGGCTGTCAGCTCCACCAGCGACAGGAGATTGATCATCTGTTCATTGTCTTTGACACATCTTGTGTTAGCCCCTGTTGGAAGACAAGATGACCAGGCTGGAAGGACCGTGGGCCCCAGAAGCAGCAGCGGCAGCCAGAACCTCAGGCCCTTTAGATCGCTGCTGGAGCGCCACACCATGCACTCCGGGCAGTGGTAAAGGCTGGGGGGGTGCGTGCTTTGGGCAGCACTGAGGGCCAGCTGCCCTTGGGCCCCCTTCTGCTCTTGGCCCCCTCCTTTTGGGGAGCACATAGCCAGGCACTCTTCCCCCACCTTGCCCAGGGGCTTGCGGGGACTGGTGGCACCGCTGGGTGGTACGGCAACATCTGGAGAATTCCCGGTGCGTGCTTTGGGCAGCACCGAGGGCCAGCTGCCCTTGGGCCCCCCTTCTGCTCTTGGCCCCCCTCCTTTTGGGGAGCACATAGCCAGGCACTCTTCCCCCACCTTGCCCAGGGGCTTGCGGGGACTGGTGGCACCGCTGGGTGGTACGGCAACATCTGGAGAATTCCCAACAGTCACCAAGGCTGGGAAGGCCAAAGGGCCAAGGTGAAGTGCTCCTGTGCTGCTGCAGAACTGCCAAGGCGCCGCCTTCCTACCCTGTGAAACAGGCTTCTAGGAAAGGTCATTTATCTGCCCCCTCATCAGCTCTTCACGGTGGAACGTGAACAACTCCATAAACAGGAAGTGAGGCCCCCTTAATGGCAGCTGTGTGGGTTTTATTCTCCAAACAACCGAACAGCACAAACAAACCCAGCGCGCCCTGAGGCCTGCCTGCTCTCCCAGGGGGTGTGTGGTAATCTTCCCTTTTGCAGCTTTCAGGTTTCAGCCAATTAGCATCACCCTGCCTCTAGGCACACTCTGTTCCAAACACACTTCCTTTTCCTGTCTTGAGTCTTTTATAGACGCAGGTGTAGGTAGCCCTGCCTCCTTTAAGTGGCTCCGCTCACCTCCTTTGACAAGGGTGTGCGGGGCCGGGCTGATATTGTTTGCACGTGACGTACAAATGAGGGGAGAAGTAAATACGAAAGAAGACAGGACTGTGTTACAAGGCTATCTGAATTTCTTGGTAAGCTGGGCATAAGCTAACAATAATGTGATTTAATGCAGCTGCACGTAAATGGATAAGAACATAAGAACGGCCACACCGGGTCAGACCAACGGTCCATCCAACCCACTATCCTGTCTGCCGACAGTGGCCAATACCAGAGGGAGGGAATACGACAGGTAACCCTCACGTATATCTAGAAACAAGGGATGTCAGTCATATTTACAGATGGAGGACTCTAGCCGGAAAAGCAGTGACTATGAAAGATTTGGCAGTGGTGGACGACAATAACATACGCTCCCAAAGTGATGCTGTGGCGAAAGCACGACCCTGATCGTTGGCTACATGAATAGGAGTGATAATGCTGTTTTACCTCAGCATTGGACACCCGTGTGCTGGATCTGGCTGCTGAAATAACGTGTCCAGTTCTGGTGCCCACAATTAAAGCTGGCTGTTGAAAAATGGGAGAGGGTTCGGAGGAGAGCCAGACAAGAATGATTAAAGGAGGTTTAGTCTTATCCCTGCTTTACAGTAGTAGACTGAAGGAGTGCAATCTAAAACAAAGAGAGGGCTAGGAGCTGCACGTAAATGGATAAGAGTCCATAAATACCTACATGGGCAAGAAATATTTAATAATCTCTTCAATCTAGCAGAGAAAGGTCTAACACAATCCAGCGAAGCTAGATCAGTCAGGCGGGAAATAAGGTGTACATATTTGCTGTGAGAGTAATTAACCGTGAGAACAATTTACCCAGGGTTGTGGTGGAGCCTCCCAGCTTGGCAATTTTCAGAAGGAGATGGGATGATTTTCTATAAGATGTGCCCTAAGCAAATTCTCTGGCCTGTGTATTAGGTGAGGTCAGACACGCAGGCCACAGTGGTCCCTTCTGACCTGGGAGTCTGCGAATCCTTGGAAGAGAGATGGTGGTGATGTGCCCACACAACCGCATTGCCTATGAAGGGAGAAAGAGCAGAAGATCTTGATAGGAAAGAAGAGGGTGAGACTGAGCATCCTCGCTTCATGAACCCGGGCGGCAGGTCAGGACTGTTTCCATCATGGCAAATTATAATTCCATCGCTGCCGCACCAAATCACCCTTCCTCCTCTTCGCCTTCTGCTCCATTTCACACCCGGAAGCTGTTGACAAGCTGATCAAAAACAGGTGGCAGCGGAAGAATTTATTAAGTGAAACAGTGTTTCTCCATTTTATCAGTTACTCATGTTGAAGGCTTCCACTGCTACCGCCCTCAGACTCTGCTGCACATGGTCACTGTGGAGCAGCCATTGCGAAAGCCCCCTCCTTGCTTCACTCTTTCAGCTTGCTAGGGATTCGTACCCTGCTGCGATGCACCGTTCCACGCTAGGTCAAAGCCCTGTCTGTCCCTACAGATGCCATCCCAATACGCTCTTGCTTCTCCTGGAGTGGAGAGGTGGATGCACAGTCTTGACAATTCCCCTCTTTCACCTTCAGCTTCCAAAGCCCAATGCTAAGCACCATCCTTCTGGCAGAGGAGCAAACACAGTTAAATCCGTCATGGCCGAGTCATGGCCAGACACTCCTTCCCTCTGCCCGGAGGCTGAGCTTTCTGCTTCCGCAAGGCTGCCGCCCACTGCCGTGCCAGGGAAGTCCAAAAGCTGGGCAGGTCCCCTAGCAAAGCAAAGAAGTAACCAGTGGATCTGCAGCTTGTTCCCAGAAGAACGGAATGAATGGTGGATAATTTATGTTCAGAGGGTTAAAAAGAGAGTAGGTTTAAACTGGGAGAGGTAAAAACCCTAGAGATTCAGGCTCACATCCAGGCACAGGCTGGTGAATGCTGAACAAGCCAGGACAAAGTTTGTTCAGAGGGTTAAAAAGAGAGTAGGTTTAAACTGGGAGAGGTAAAAACCCTAGAGATTCAGGCTCACATCCAGGCACAGGCTGGTGAATGCGGAACAAGCCATGATAACGTTTGTTGCCCTCAACATCACAACGCAAGGCCAGAGGAGGCTGGGTTGCCAGATCAGTCACCAACCTGTGGACTCCTGAGCCAGCCTTGAGGAAGCAGCCATCCCTCTCTTCTTTTCTCAGTTTTCATTGCAAGTCTTGCATTTTTGGGTGGCTTTTTCCTTAAAGTCCCAGGTTCTGGAGGCATGTGATTATGTGAAACCCTCAATTTTCTTTTCTTTTTTTTAAAGTAAAGCCTACCCCAGATGCCCAAAAGTACTTAGGGTCAATTTCAAGGGAAGTTTAGAACCACGATCCCTTTGAGGACTGGGGTCCTCGCGGTTGCATAGTTTTCAGATGTGAACCCTGCTGGCTCAAATACCAGCTGGCACATAAGGACAACCCAACATGTAGTGTTCTGTTAAAAAATGTACAATCTTTAAGGCAATCTTAGGGGCCTTTTGGAGCACTAGGCATGGGCAGTGCTGCTTCCTGCATTCTCTGGAGGAGTTCCACAGGGTGTTTGCAGGGTGATATGACAGGGCAGCGACACAGATGCCTGCCAAGCTGAGCCCACTGTGTTTTGGGGTCAGGTTGTAGGCTCGGAACTAGCAAGCCGCCTTCCTCCCTGGGGAGATCCAGTGAGGTCCGCAGACGAGTTGACCGGGACGAATCTGCTCCAGCGTGTTGAGTGTTTGTCTTCATCTCGTCCCCAGGTGAGCGCTGCCTGGCGTCCTGACCTTTGCAGCAGGTCTGCTTCTGGAAATGCACCCACCAAACACCAGCGCAACCCACAGACAGCGCGATGAATCAGCTTAGCTGCTCCGGGTGAATCACGATTGACCTAGTTTTACAGCACGGGATTTTAAAACCAGCTTCCCTGCCTCTGTGTCGTCCGGGAGTCAGCCTGGAGCGGAGCCCTGGTGAAGCCACAGCTGTAAGTTCTGCCAGGGGCTCCATATGCACTCTGCTGGAGTAGCTGCCAGCAGGATAGGCTCAACAAATTCATCCCAGGCTGCTCTGGCCACCCCTCACCGGTAACCAGTAACCAGCAGGTCCCCAGTGCATGTATGTGCATATTGGGAACCATCTGGCCAGATTCTGGGCTTGCTTCTGCTATCATAGACCTGAAGAGAATCTGCCCCTCCCACTGCTGGTATGCTACAGTGCACATGGCTTCCCCTAGTGCTACAGGATGGGGGCAGCTTTCTAAGCCAGCGATTTCCATGGTAGGTTTGGCACAGAAGATAAACCCCCTGCTTCCACCAGTTCCTCCCCCGCCTCTCTGGAGTCTCTTCACTGATAGCCACCTTTAAAACAACACTCCAGTCTTTGCTCTCCGTTACACCGATGTAAAACTGGTCACTTGCTGTACTCTGAAAGGAGGATTAGACCCATTCGTGTCCTTCCTACTGTGATCCCCACAACGCTGGCAAATTAGCAATTCTTAGCGCACGGCTACAGCCAAAAGATCTCACTAATCCATGCGAAGCTCCCTGAAAATTGCTGCTGTGGTCAGGAAAGGACCCCTGCCAACTCACAAGCAACAGTGAGAGGAAGAGGTTGGATGGTGGAAGGGAATCTGTGTAGCTGGGGAAATGAGTGAATGTGACAACAGGATGCCCATTCACACTCCAGCCACTCACAGCCCGACCACCAAATTGCTAGACAGCACAAACGAACTGAAATCCTATGAGTCATGCGGATTGGAGCTACCAGATGGTGTAAAAACTTATTCCAGCTGTACAGTATGGAAAACGGACAATGACAGGAAAATATTAATGCAACATCGGCCTAAGATCGAAAAGACTCCCATGGCCATATTGTTCTGGTTTAGAGGAGATCATTAACGACAGTAACATTGTCATGCCTGGGCCAAAGGGTGCTCCAGCACACTGCCACAGTGATTGAGTCGATGTAGCTCACAGGGAAGAAGTAGCTAGTGCAAGATTTTTGTGCCTGTGTGAAACTGGACCCTTTGTGAGACAAACATCTGCCCTGATTAATATATGGAATCCTGTTAAAATATTGAACTTAAGGTATTCAGAAAGCAGTCCCATGAAGCTTACCACGTGTGTTTGTTTTCCGGTTATGTGTTTGATTTAACCTCATTGCTTAATGAACAGATCTCTATGTAGACAATCCCATCTGACATCCTTTAAGCCTAAAGTGACAGGAGTCCTGTGGCACCTTATAGACTAACAGATGTACTGGAGCAGAAGCTTTCGTGGGCAAAGAACCACTTTGTCAGATGCATGCATAAAGTGCCACAGGACTTATGTCGCTTTTGAAGATCCAGACTAACATGGCTACCCCTCTGATACCTTGCAGCCTAGGTTTTCAATGGTGCAAGAGGGAGCTAGGCAAAACTCAGAGGGGTTTGGCAGCTATTTCCATGAGATGCCATGTATAGGGTGGCCAGGTGTCTGGTTTTGAACCGGACAGTCCAGTATTTGAGCTTTCTGTTCGGGAAACAAATTGAGAAAATAGAAATGAGACAATAGAAATGTCCAGTATTTTCTAAATAAGATGGAATGTAGATTGTGATGTAATGTCAAGTGTCTCCAGTATTTTTGTTGAAACCATCTGGCAACCCTAGTACATTTGTAGTAACTTAAGTGGAGTTTGGCCCAACGCTGCATTTGGCAGGGGCATTAGAGAGTTCCGTTTCTCTGTCTGGAGGAAATTATTGTCACGTCTAAGGTTGCTCTGTAATGGATGTCCTGATAGTGTGGGGAGCACTAGAAATACTTAGGCTGCATAACTGTTATGCACAGTTGCCCCGTTCCTGTAAGGAAGGGGTTAAAATAGGCTGGGGGGGGGGGGGGGCTGTGCAGAGCCCCAGCCAATTAGGAAAGAGCTTATAAGAAACCAGTCAGAGAGCAGCTTGCTGGGGCAGCCCCATTATAAGGAGCTGTTCTGCAGAGCAGTTGGGTGCTGAGCCAGGGAGGATGCAGACTGGCTCCCTGCAGAGAGGCAGCACTTTGGACAGGGGAGCTCAGGGCAGGGAGAGAGGCTCTAGTCTAGGCTGTTACCTGCCAGGCTGTGGCCTTGGCACAAGGGTCAAGAAGGTGCAGGGTGCCACGGGGAAGCGACCCAGGAAATGAAGCAGTAGCGGGGCGTGGAGAAGGACAGGACAAGGCTAGTGCCGGAGGATGCCTGGGCCAGGACCCAGAGTAGTGGGTGGGCCTGAGTCCCCCCACTTGCCCCACATCTCGCCTCCAGGGACTGTGGCCTATACAGACCGTGGCTTGTCCTTAAGGCAAGGAGCTAGACGTGGGGACTGTAGGTGAGCCTGAAGGCTGCTGACACCCCCAGAGGGGGCTGAGAAACCAGAGTTGTGGGCACTGTTGGAGGGCAGTGCCCTGGAGAGGATGCTGCAGTCCTGAGAGTGATATGGGTCCAAAGAGAAGCAGCAGAGCGGAGCATGACGGTGGGTGAGACACCATCCAAAAGAGGGCGCCCTGCTGAGGGTCAGAGCTAATTCCTGGTGTGACCAACAGGAGGTGCCAGGGTGCTGAGTTAAACCCCGTTACAACGTCTCTCCCAAACCCTCCCTCCACCCCATTATACTGTCCAACAGTTTAAATGAAAAACTTCATTGCCTCGTCCTATGTTCCCTGTTGTGGGGAAATAGTTATTGCACTTGCAACAAAAAATGTAGCCACAAGCCCTCATGTGGCTCAGCGTGGGGTGGATGAAATGAAACGAAGGAGTGAGTCAGGAAAGTGGTAGTGTTGAATAGGCAGCCACGTCGACACAGCACTGGCAGTAGCTCAGAGGCCTGTACAAATACCTTTAGGGCCTGACTTGGAGAGATGCAGAGCACTCCTGTGGGTGTCACTGCCTTTAGCTGCATTAGTGGGTGCTGAGCTCTTCTGCAAACTAACCCATCCGGGGGGCATTGTCCAATGGGAGTGTTGCCCCAAGAAAGCCAAGTTTAACCTACTGTCATTTTCCTTATTACAAAGTTAACACATTTCTTCTGGGATTTTTTTTAATTAGACATCACTTTCTCCTTTAAAAAAACTGGCTTCCTGATCATTACAGTAAAAAATAAAAATCTGATCTGTGCTGAGGAGTGTGAATACAGTAATAAATCAGTGCATCTGCACCACTCAGCACTTACAGACTGCCCTACAATAACACACCTGTGCAAACAGCCCAGCCGTTCTGAACAACTCTGCAGTAAAAAACTCACTGGGGAAAGCCTAGCACTCTAGGGCAGCCAGATGGTAACAAACCAGGGTGCACAGCTCAGCACTTACAGGCCACCCTACAATAACAAAACGGAAGGGATGTATGATGGAAGGAATAACATTCCGGGAAGGAAACAGATTTCATATTAAAACTTAAAAAGAATGAATGAAAACAAGGGTTTAGACAATTAAAATAGCATTTAGCCAATTGCACCAGAGTCCTGCTGGGATGTTTGTATTTGACACTGTGGTAGAGGATTGTTTCTCCTCTGTAAATCGTTGCCAGAACCCCCAGCCCACACTAAGGATGGGAGAGGCAGGTTGGGATAATTCGGAACAGAGTGGCGAGTGCTGCTTAAGAAGCTGCTCTTTAGAACAAAAATTCTGTGGACTTGATCCTCCGGTGCACCCAGGAGACTTGCCCCAGCTCTCTGATTGTCAGCTGCCTGGTGCAAATCAGAGCTGCAAGGAGGCAGCTTTAGTTTACCCCACTGGTGTAAATCAGATCTAGCGGAATCTACGTTGCTTTGCCTCTTCTCTCCCACTCTCCTGCACCCGAGCACCATCGCCTCCTACTGCCCCAGCGTACCCCCCACCGACCTCCTCTCATGCTAAGAGACAGGGCGCCAGTGCAGGAAGTCTGGAGCTGAGCAATGGGGCTGGCACAGTGTCGGGGGGGGGCCTGCCCAGCTGCCTGGTACAAATCAGAGCTGCAAGGAGGCAGCTTTAGTTTACCCCACTGGTGTAAATCAGATCTAGCGGAATCTACGTTGCTTTGCCTCTTCTCTCCCACTCTCCTGCACCCGAGCACCATCGCCTCCTACTGCCCCAGCGTACCCCCCACCGACCTCCTCTCATGCTAAGAGACAGGGCGCCAGTGCAGGAAGTCTGGAGCTGGGCAATGGGGCTGGCACAGTGTCGGGGCTGCCTCTGCCCGCTTTGTAGCACCGGCAAGTTCCTGGCCGATCGTAACTCCTGACCGTCTGTCTCCAGCCTTCTGAACCTGGCGGACCAGAGAATCCAGCCCTGTCACCTCCTGGTGGGTTTATGGGTGTATTTCTGCTGAGCTCGTCTTGATGTCCCTGGGAGAATCGGGTGAGGCAGGAGGGTGGACGATGGTGTCGAAATCTGCCAGGTGGCTCCAAGCAGAGAATTTTATCTTCAAGCCTCTTAGCCGCAAAGCTAGCGAGTTAACGTGTCTCTTCGTTTTCCTTACGTCTCCTCGCTGAAGTGACCTCTGACTGTTTCAGGTGCAGACTAACATGGATTCGTTGCAGCAAAGCTTGAAGGCAAAACTCCAATTACTGAATGTGCTTAGTGCTGAGAAGGGAGCCAGCAACCCACGCCAGGAGCGGGACGTACCGTCACCATCCCTGCCAGCCTTAGTAAGCATATTTTTTCAGACTGCATGTAGCCTGCAGAATATGCAGCATTTGTCAGGGCTTGGGCTTCTCCCAGCAGCACAAGTAAGTGCAGAAGGAGAATCCACATGCCCGCCTCTGTTCTGCAGCTCTTTGGCAAGCTCTTTCAGAAAGTGTTTTCGTTCTCTGGCCGGATTCAACAGAGTGATCGTGCTGGGTTTGCCAAACCCCCATGGAAATAGTTGCCTTTTGCAGGTGCTTCTTGTGCTGTTACCTGCTGTTGCGGCATGTCCCGAAAAGAGCAAAACTGCAAACTGTGGGATTGTTACACCAAGTGTTCTTAGTTCAGTGGTGACCCATTTCTGAAGGGTGGTAGAGATGACGCTGGGTTTCCCCATGGCAAAGTCAGTCTTACTGCTGTAAAGGAAATACGCCACCATTTCTGGGGCTTCACAATCCATGGTCACCGACACTGATATTTCTCTCCCTGCCATAGCAGCCAGGGGTTACTTATACTGGTTATGGGGGCTGTTCTGCCTACCAGCCCTAAGATCCACTGCAGTCATTGCTGCATCTCTCACTTCTGGGAACGAAGGGCTCATGCGTGGGGCAAAGAATAGAATCCTTCTCAAGGCAGTGGCCCATGACGCCTTGTCCAGCCACCCAGTCTTGTGTGGATACCTTCTGTGACAGGTTTGATCAGAGGTCCCCTTGAGACGGTCATTCAATGTGCTGATCATACCACTGAGCCTGCCTACCTGCCCTTTGGGGCGCCCTCTCCTACCCTGTTCTGCTGGGGCAGATGCTCTGGTCTCCATCCCAGAGCATCACTGCGCTTCATTTGCATAATTAATTAGCAGCTGCTTTTGCGCAAAAGGGAGCTGTGTAGTCGGCTCCTCATTTTTTCAGGAAGAACGGCTCTTGCGCAAGAGGGAGGTTTGACGCCAAAAGGAGCCATCTACACAGCTCCTTTATGCGCAAAAGCGGCTGCTAATTAATTATGCAAATGAAGCGCGGTGATATTCCATGCTGCACTTCATTTGCATAAGCTTTTCCGGAAGAAGGCTACAATGTAGCCGTAGCCATAGAGTTCACTCTTACTGACCGAGAGATGCACAGCTGTTGTTCCCTCCCAGTCCTGGGTTACAGTTATTTACAGTCGGTTTGATAAGAAACAAAAGTGTTTTTAAGTATTAACAAGTAGGATTTAAGTGACTGAAAGTGAAAACAGACACATCAAAGTAAATTATCAAGCAAAAACAAAACGCTCAGCCTAATGCGCTCAGCAACGGTTACAGATCACATTTCTCACCCTAGACCTTATTTCAGGTAAAATCCTTCTAGTCAGAGCTGATCTTTCCTTTGTGCTGAGTCTGTCAGCTTCTTCTGTATCCTCTTCGGGTGGGAAAATGGCTTCAAAGACCAGCTGAAGATTATAATGAATTGCTTTCCATCCCTTCGATAGACTTTCCCCAGCGTGGGAATACTTTGTTCAGTCCTTCCCAGCCGAATGGGAAAATACCAAATTTGAGATGGATTCCAGCACCAAAGCATAGGCATGTGTCTTTGTAGGACCAAGCACCATTTAGACTTACAGGATTTAAAAAAAAACACATTTGCAGATTGTTGTTTTAAGCACCTGGCCATTAAGTTCCCTTAGTATCGCTAGTGGCTTTCACAAGAAGACCCATATTAATAAAACAGGCGTCCATTTCATATTTCTAACTTCACATAAAAGAATGATAGATGCACACAAATAGAATAGAAACATTCTGGAGGTCACAGCCTCTTGAATGGGAGGTTACTTGCCCTGTTTTGTATAAAGCATATTTGAGTCATGCATATTCATATTAAAAACATATTTCCATAGAAATATGGGGGTGTGGTGTCACATCTTCATCCCACGACTTTTCTCCAGTATTCTGGGAATATTACCAATTAGCAATAAGGATGAGCCTGACTTGCGAAGTCCAATCCCCATGTGAATTTTGCCCCAGGGAAGCTCAGGGGTTTTTATTAGGATTTCTGTTAGTTCTGATACTGCATAGATAATAGGACATTAGTACACTGCCTGGCTAATTCCCAGTGCTTACTTCTTTGTGCCATGTAGTTTGAGGGATACACAGTTACTTTTGTTCTTAAACCAGCAAGATCCAACATCCTGATTCATAAGGTGGGGAGAAAAGATAAGACTCTGAAGAATGTAAATAGGCAAGGAAACAAATTTGAAATCAAGGGCCTATGATATCCTGAGTTGCGGACTATTAGAGGAGGGAACGTTGTATAGCTGTGCGGTAGGGAGTGACTCATGAATACACAGTGTATATCTCCAACTGTTCCCTAATTGTAGTGCTGTGGTTTATGGAGGATAGAGGTTAGGAGAATGCTGGAACGGTAGAAACTATAAATTATGGTTTAGACAATGCTATGTAGACTGTGATTCAGTTCAAACACAATGATTGCTACCAAACTTTAGTTACATGCTGAGAAAATCCAGCCTCTCTCAGGCAGAGTGTGCTATTTTTCTTAGCATCACCCCTGGGAGTTGCATATCTTGGAAATGGAAACGTTTCTAGACCCAGAAGAGAAATCAACCCATCACAAGTTCTTCCCATTCCCATTTTATACTCTATTCTCCCTTAGCACACTGCAGCCTCCTGTTTCCTCTCAGACAAGAGCTTTGCCCCCTAGGGATGAAACTCGTCCAACATTCAGGAATCATGCGCCAGAGTGACTATCATCAAAGTGTGACACGTCAGTGCTTGCCAAAGACTCTTGGATTGCTAAAATAATAAAAAGTTAGCAATGAGCCAGCCGTCTTGGCCGTACACCAAACCCTTCTCTAGGGCCAGTGTAGCTGGAATGTCTCTGTAGCAAATTTGTCTCCAATTTGAGCAACCACCCCCCATTTTTACCCCAGGTTTTCACCCCAGTATCTACTGAGGGCTCCTTTTTTTGCCTGCGTTGGTGACTCTTTAGCCAGGTCCAAATGGTGAATGACGAGCAGGAGACACCGATAACAAAAGTGAGATTGAATGAGTTGGCTTTGGCTGGGGGTGAATTGTGAGCCTGCCTCACCCACCATCTTAGTCATGAGGCGTTGTGGTCTGGCTTCTCTTCTCATTTACCCTGCTTTTACATCAGTGCAGCTCTGAGTTACTCCTAATTTACACCAATGTAAGTGAGACGCACCCAAGCCCTGTGAGTGTAACCTGGCAGACTGAACGGACGTCTCTCCATCCTGCCACCCCACAAAGAGGTGGATGCAGAACAGTCCTCGCTAGTGGAAGCCATCCCCAGTGGGCAAGTACCAGGGCGGGTTGCAGATGGCAGGAGAGGCTCAGTCACTTCCCTTGGGCACCCAAGGAAGAATCCTGCACTCTGAGACCAGTAGTAAGGATGAATAATAGCACCGTGAGCTGGGGGTCCCAATGTGCTTTGCAGTTTAATGAATTCAATGCCAGCAGTTGTTCTTACCCTACCTTTGAAAGAGTGACTGAGACACAGTGTCCCTGACTTCCCAAGACCATACAGCAAGTACGTAGCAGCGCTGAGACCAGCTCCTGTATCCTCAGACTCCCAGTCCTATGCTACTGTCACGAAACCATGGGCCTGGGCCCCAAGACAGAAGCACAGCTGTGTACCTTAGCAGGCATCTTTGGAAATCCCGGCTTCGGAGTAGTGGGCTCTTCTTGGGCAGCCCCCGGATACGGCCATCCATTGCTTCTTGTGCTTCTGTCTTGGGGCCCAGGCACATGGTTTTGTGACGGTAGCATAGGACGGGGAGTCTGAGGATATGGGAGCTGGTCCCAGCGCTGCCACACACTTGCTGTGTGGTCTTGGGAAGTCACAGAGGTCTCAGTCTGGACTCACTCCACGGCACTAAAATAGCTGTGTAGATGCTGCAGCTTGAAACTGAAGCTCAGGCACCAATGCCTAGGGTGGAGGATGGGTTTCACAGCTCCAGCCACAATGTCTGCAGCTGTCTTGAGCACGGTAGCAGGAGCCTTTTGACTCCAGGTCTGAGTCTTGTGGCTGCAGGCCCCATAGATGTATCCCAAGAGTTTGGCACTCGATTCCCCTTGAATATGGATGACTGCTAGGTGCCTCGCTCTGTCAGGAAAATCACAGCTCAGTCCCAGAGGGAAGGGACAGGTGTTCCTGTAGCGAGCTAAGACGACTCCTGTGCTGTAAAACCTATCTATGGATTGCAAACAAGAGGAAGGAGCTCAGGTTTGGCCTGAGTTTTGTGACTGATGGCCTGGCTTAGGGCTTTCTACCTGGTTCTGGTCACTCGCGGTGACACGTAGCACGGAGCGGGTGAGACAGACTCACAGCAGGGAAAAGCCCGAAGAGGAAAGAAATGTTCAGAAGGAACACTGAATTGTTTATGGTGTCGTCTCAGGAAAGGCAGATACTGGGGGCAACACACTGGAGAAAGGTGTGTGCTAGAAGCAGCATCTAAGAGAACTGCACCAGCAATTCAATACTCTGTCATCACGGATTTTACTAGCCAAAAATCATCCCCCTCCTGTTTTCCTCACTGTTGGACAGGGGATGCGATAACCACACCGGGCAACCTAATGACATGGGTCTGCCTGCCCCCGCTTCTGGGATTTCACAACCGCGTACAGCTCGGAGTGAGGCACTGGCTTGTCTCGTCTTGTACTGCAGTGTGTAAGCTGTGAGTGTCTTACCTGGCTTGGGGCCACAGCCCTCTTCCCCCGAGTTCTCTCCAAACATCCCTGGCTTTGTGGCTCAGAAGTGGCAGAGTGGTGTTCTGAGACGCGGGCTAGTCTCCTCCCTCTAGAGTCCCCTCTCCTTGGTTTGCCCTAACCAGGCTCTCCGAAAGCAAGGAGGGAGGGCAAGAGGGCAGTTGCCTCAGGACCTGGTGATTCAAAGGGGCCCGGGCCTCTGTTCACTGCCGCTGCCCGCTAAGGGCTGGTCTCCGACCCACCCCTTCCACGAGCACGGAGCTGGTCCCCCGCATCTTGCCTGGGGGCCTGCAGAGGTGGTCTGTGCCACTGCTTCTAACAGAGCCTTTTCACTCCTTGTAATTAAGGAGTTTCTCAACCTTGCTGTTAGTGAGCCAAAACGGTTGTGAAAACCTGCTTCAGTTCCAGGAGGGGATTTCTGTCCCGCTCCGTGAATATCACAGTTGAGACATCCCAGGTTGAGAGAGAGAGAATGGGGAGAAAGCACAGCCTTGACAGCCACACGGGAAAGATTTGTGCAAACTAGGAAAGAATCAGAGGGTGGAATAAGCGGCTGCTCCCCTCCTGGAGGTGGTCTACATAGCGCGTGGGGGGTAGCTCTCTCCCAGTGCGCATGCCCTGGCCACGCTTACAGAGTTTAAAGGTCATGAATCCACACGTGGAAGGATAGGGTATGAGCGTGTAGAAAGTCACGCTAAGTGTGAAAGTCGCATCACATGTTACCACCTGTTTGGGCAACTCCAGCATGTCTAAGTCCCACTCCGGGACAGCCTTGCATCCGGTCTCCTCTTACCACAGACAGAGCAGAGTGTGGGGGAGAGAAAGGCTAAAAATACACCCCAGCTCAGCACCTGAGTAATGTGCTGCATTTGTTGAGACAGAGCTACCAGCAGGGAGTTTCCAGTGAGTACATCCATGAAGATAACAATAGCATTAAGATAGCATCCCTAAAATAACACTCTGCAGAAACTGGTTTTGCTGTAACAGGCAAGATTTTGCTTCAAGTCATTTGCTTCGTGATGCTTAGAGGGAGCATCACAGACCCTTAAAAGGTGAACTGCAGAGGGAAAAAACCCTCTATTTACTTCCATGCATTTCTTGGCAAAGTGTCTCACCAGCCCATGCGCCCCCATAGGCAGGTTTCCTCCTCTAGCCCTGCCATTCAGGTCTGCTGGGGGGCCCAGGCCTAATAGTCTTTCTGACCCTTGTGTCAGGAAAGTTCTCCCAGTGTGTTTATAGGGAACTACTCCCTTCCTCCACCTGGGTTCCAGCCAAGGGACCCTGTAGCATGTGGGTCTGCCCCAGTAAAGTCTGTCTGGTCAGACCTCTTGGTTCTTCCCTGAGCTGCATCCTACAATGTCTCCACCTTCTTTCCAAGGGGGTTCGTATTCTCTGCCGGGGTCTGCTCTGACTTGGCACTAGTCTCAACCTTTGAGGTAACAAAGGCAAAACATTAAAAATAAGTTAACAGAAATAGATGTCTCTACCTACCTGGATCCTGCAGCCCCTCTGTCCTGCTGCTCTCTGCTCACCATCTGCCCAAAGCACGTGGGTCTCTGGGGTGAGAAGAATCTGGGACGTCTGGTTAACCAATTCAACAGGGTTTTGCATCCCTAGTCTGAGGTTGCCTGGCCCTGTCCCAGCTGGGAGGTGTTGGGTCTTGTTTGCCGAAAGGCGACACTTCAAAACCCTTGACACCTGTACTGTTAGTTTAGGACTGGTGGCTGGTTACCTCAAGCCATAACTCTGGTTCCTGCAGAAGTGCAAACTCACCTAAGAGTGACTTACCTGTTCCTCGTTTTTTAGCAAGCAACACAGAGGCAGGTAATGGTCATAAAAATACTGTCAATATCTGGCATGATTTTCACACAGACATTACAGCTGAGTTCATTGTTACTGGATTTACATTGAGCATGAGGTCAAAACTGAAATCGGTCTCCAGGGTGCCGTGAACTGAACGAACACTTAGCAAGAGATACTCTCTGCTCTGAAGAGTTTCCATTCTAAATAGACAAGCGAGACAAAGAGTGGGAGAAAGAAACAATGGATTCTTGTTCTCATTTATAAATGGGGAGTTTCTGCCTTTCACTCCAGTAGACTTTGACTCAGGCCTTAAATGGCTGGCTAAATATCACGCAGGGATCTATGAGAAAACCAGGAATCAAACCTGGAGCTTCTTAAATTTTAACTCCATGTCCACCTCGCAAGACCATCCTTTCTACTTACAGAGAGGTGAGCTAACTGGCAATCCTAGCTAATATTTAAGTGATTATATTTGTATCATGGTGGGCGGGGACATGTTGAGCACATGTTGGAGAAATAAATGGAGTTTTATTTTATTTGCTGGGGTTTTAAATTATTTTAAAAGCACTGAGTAAGTGGGGAAACACCCCGTTTTGCAGATGGAATGGATATCCAAAACCTTGTCCAAAATCCTTTGCATGCCTAAACAGATTAGACAGAAGGATTTCATTTCTGTTCCCATAATTCTGCAGCTTTCTCCTCAATGCCATGTTTTCAAGAGAGATCCACACTGGTTTCTGCTCCTGTTTTCGCATTATTTATCTTCCTTTTGGGGGGAAAAAAAACAAAAACAAAACTCTCTCATGGGAAAACATTATAGTTTATTCCATCTGTGTGAGAAAAGGCAGGATGTTTTGCTGGCAAATCCATCATGCCTGAGGGAAAAAAAACTGTGGCCAAGACCCACTTAAAATATACTTCTTAAGGAAAGTAGATCAAATTACACTGAGCCTCAAAGAGCATTAGTCAGCATAGAAAGCGAGTCAGCAGTTTTTACTGAACCAACCGTTCTGTAATCTCCAGCCTGGCCAGAATGTTGTGCCTCCATTATGTTGTATGAGTATCATCTAACATATTACCCGATAACAAATTGCTTCCATTATGAGCAAATACACACGTTTGGAGAAAAATCCATGCCAAATTTGATTGGACATTCGCTGTACTGGCCTTCTGAGACTCCAAATCCCATCCAGAAGAACTCCTGAAAAGTTCTGAGCCTGGCGTTATCGCTAGGTGTAGGCAAGACAGGCAGTGATGAACTGGAAAGTCTCGGATCAATTGTCTGCCACCAGATGAATCTCATGTTTTGTTGGAAAGGACAATGAATAAAGCTCATGAGGACATGCTGTGTATTCGAAGATGACACGTGATCTGAACTACAGGGTCTTGTTTAAAAACAGTTTCCTCATTCCCCACTTTGCTAAGGCACTTAATCCTGCAGCCCTAATGCAAGCAAACGGGAGTGCTTGACTTGCGTGGATTAGAGGAATGGGTACTTAAGGCCTGCATCTGCAGATGCTTACACAAGACATTCCTTTGGCTCTAGCGAGATGCTTCATGTGTAAGTAGCACTTGTGCCTTTGTAGGACCAGAGCTTACGTTTGTGAATAGGGGTTTTTTAATTGCTTTGGGACATTTCAGGATGAAAAGAGCTCTGTAGAGGCCTGCAGAGGAATGTAACAGGACATCACTCATCATCAGGGCGCCTCCTGTTGGCCATCCTGGGAATTAGCTTTGGCTCAGTGGTGCGCCTTCATCTAGTGGGGTCTCCCTGCTGTCACGTCTGTCTGTAGGGCCCAAGTTGCTCTCAGGACTGAGGTGCCCTCTTCTGGACACAGCCCTCCGGCAGTGCCCACCCTATTCCCTCCCTACTTCCGGAGTCCTCTGTCCAGACCCTGGCTTCACTGGCAGACAGCAATCCAAATTCAGTGGCCAGTGGGGCCAAGGGGAGGGGGTGGAGACCCAGGCCTGCCTGCTGCTCGCGTCCGGGCCTGGGAATCGTCTAGCCAGCAGCCACATGCTGCACCACCTACAACCCCCGCTGTCTGCTCCCCTGGGCCCACTTTTCACCTTTGTATCAGGGCCTCAGGCTGGCAGCAGCTGGCCGGCAGCTCATGTTTCCCTCCCCTGCCCATCACTGCTCTGTCCATGGGGCTCTCTCTCCAGCCCCCTTTTAGGGCAGCCAGTTCTCCCTCCTCCAACTCCAGGGAGTGACCGAAGCTGTTCTGTTCCACAGCCCTATTTATGTGGCCCATCCTAGCTCTCCTTAGCGGTCTCTACAATCCCTTTCCTATTTGGCTGCCTCCTGCACAACCTCCTTGGGATTGCTTCTTCTGCCAGTGTAGGGCAGACACCCCACCGCAAGAAATAAGCCATTACCTGCTGTTGCAATAGCAGACAAACGTGAACATTCTTTTTAGTTCTTGCTTTTATTCCTCGAGGGGGGGCTGCTCGCTTCCCCATTGCACCAAGGGCAAAATCATCACTAGACAGCACCAAGCATTCGGCTTGTCAGCAGGGAGGTGAGGAATCGCACTCCATGCCCGAGAAACTTCAGTGTTTCTTTCCCAAGAGAATCCTTGACTTGAAGTTTGACTGGGGAAAAAAATAGACAAAATAATCAAAGGTGGCATTCAAAGAACTGGAAAGAATCGTGAAGGCCGGCTCTTCAGACTCCCATTCCCTCGCAGTGGGCGTTAGAGCCAGAGATATCAGGCCCAATTACATCCATGCAGTTCCCCTGACATCACAGGAGTTAAGCTGATTTACACCAAACGAGGATCTGTCCCATAATGGTAGCGGAGTGTGAACCACTCACAGGGAGGGAAAGGGCATATTAAAACCAAGTAACGCCGGACTGGTGTGTGCACTGGAGCTCCTTGACAAATGAGGCATGCTTGAGGAATCCACCCTTGCAGATAAAAGTTTTGCTAAAAATTAACCATTTCTCTGAGTGCATTAGTCTGAAGTAAGAGAAAAGGGACAGCGTGCCAAGCAGGCAAACACCTGGGTGGACTGTGTAAAGCCTTGAATTGTACACTGGTTGGGGATTTGCAGCACAGCTAACAGTGTTAAGCGAGCAGGGACATCCCACAGCAATCTGAACAAATCTTTGTATCAGCGCCAAGTGGTTTATGGGGACATTAAAATGAGGAATGAACTCTGGGCAGGAAATTAGGGTGAGTCCCTGCCCAGGGGCTGTGTTTCTGGACTCCAGCTATGTGGTGCACTGCGGTAGCTTGAATTACAACTCACCAACTGCCAATCCACTCCATCTGTGCAGCTCTGAGTGTTGGTTTGCAGGGTGGCTGTTCTCACTCAAACTGGACACGCTGGCTTAGCACCCTCATGTCTGTCCACCCGACACTGCGGGAGTGGCGTAACGTGAGAGTGCGAACTGCTGTAGTGAAGACAGGCCCGGAGTCTGAAATGGAGTCGGGTTAGACTCCTCTGATGGTGAGTGAGCCTGTGATTTTCAGTCGGTCCCCTGTTGGATGGTGATATGACAGGCCCAGCTGGCAGGAACCCCCGCTGCCCTGTATGGAACAGAGGGAACCATCTTAGGAGAGGAGACGCATGAGCAAGAAATAACGTAGGTCAGAACGCTTGGGTTCTGCCGCCCCATTCGGCCAGCGTACTGAGGTCTGACTTAAGGCAAGTCTCAGTTCCTCCATGACTCGGGGTGTGTTAAATGGGAATTTTTTTAAAAAGGAAAAAGCTTTCCCAGCTCCCAGGCATGCCCTGACTTTCAAACAGTGAGTGAATTACCTGCCTGCGACAGAAGATGCTCCAGAAGGGCAATGCAAAAGGTGCTGCTAATGAGAGGGGCAGTGTGGCATAGTGGCTAGAGCACTGGGCTGGTCCTCAGATATGAGATCTATTCCCAGTGACCTTGCCTAAGTCATGTTGCTTCCATCTGCGTCAGCTTCCCCATCTGTACAATGGAAGTCATTATGCTGACCTCCTTATAAAGTGCGTTGTCTACTGATCATAAGAGCTAGGCGTTATTTTTATGAATAGAGAGGGCTGTGAATGTTCATGCTAGGCCCTGCGTTTTGATCCCATGTCTAGTCCTCTTTGACAGCCCACGCCGGAGCCAGCTATCGTTCATGAGCATTACAAGCTGCATTCAATAGACGCAGGATCCAATAGTCGTCTGGAGAAACTTACAGAGCTCAGTGGCGTTAAACCAGAAGGGAATGTGACCCACAGGATTCCTTCCGGGCCGATTTCTGAAAGCACGTGGCGCTGAGCCGTGGCCCTTTGGAAATGGTGTTACCAGCACGCTGCGTTTCCAGGGAGGAGTGACTTACAGCTTTGGGAACCAGAGAGTCCCTGTGTGCTCCATTGTTTCCACCAGCTGGCAGCCCCCCAGGGTTCCTGCTATATGGAGCAATCCCTAGGGGGGAACAGCTGCAGGGGGCCTATTCTGTGTCCTGTTCCAGCCCAGCTACCCTATTCCCTAAGCCACACCAGAACCCACCCCATCTTCAGCAGGTCCCTTATCCCACCTTCCTAATGCAGACCAAAGTCTATTCCTGGTGTGGACAGAGGGGACAGGAACCGAACCCAACACCCTATATACCCCAGGCCAGTGCCCTCGTCCCTAGGCCACGGCAAATCTGTGGATGCTTAGCCACTTTGGTTTAGTGCTGACTCCTAGGCTGCTCCTGGGCTACCACAACCTCACCTCCTTACCCTGGCAGACTTTTTCTGCCAGTGCCTCCCACTCCAACTGCACCCAAGCAGGTCAGTGGCAGATCATCTAGGCACCTGCTCCTTGGCTAGCAGGAGCACCCCGAGGGCCTGATCCAATTGCTTGTACAGTCACCTGGAGTCTATACACTCTTTGTAATGGGAGAAGGACTGGGCTCTTACTGCAGGCACTGGAAGTCTGGCAATACCATGCAAGCATCTGTTCATGAGTCGGTGATTTTTCCCTGGCTACAGACAACATTCAGGAGGTGAACATATCAGATTCTCAGATGACTCAGTGCTTTCCCCTCTCTGTGCTATTTAAAACTGCACAGCAATGGAGCTTCCAGATTCGCTATCTCGGTCAAGCAGCTTTATCTTTAGATAGGACAATGGCCAGGGCTTCCTTCCTCTCTAGCTGCATTCAACACCTTCCTGCTGCAGGTCTCGCTCACCTCTCCAGCGCAGGTCACGGTACCCTCCGGACTACATGGGGTGATGCTGACTTCAGCGCCTGGGGAAAATATTGGAGCTCATGATTAAACCATCACTTTGTAAGCACCTCAAGAATAACAGGGTGATAAGGAACAGCCAGCATGGAATTAGCAAGAGCAAATCATGGCAAACCAACTTCAGTTCCTTCTTTGACAAAGTTACTGACATAGTGAAACGGCTGGGAAAAAGGTGCATGACACACACATCTGTAGGAACTCCTGCCTCTTCGGCAAGCTACACGCGGGAACTTTTTTCCCAGACTGGAAATTAGTGTTACTCCTTGTGAAAGGAAGAGCGCAGAAATCGACTTGAACGGCACTTAAAGTCGATGGAGGGGGCTTGGAGGTGTGGCCTCATTGTTTAGAAAATTGACCTAATGCGGCTAAGTTTGACCTAAACTCTTAGTATAGACCAGGCCTTAGTGTCCAGATTCAGCCTAGAATGAGGCATTGGGCCTGACTCTTCCACTGTGTGGTTTCAAGCCAGCATAACTGTATTTTGCTGCAGTGCAGTTACTCCGGATTTACACCAGCACAAGAGGTGAATCAGGCGTTTGGTATGTTTGGGTAGTTTTACATTTGTTTTCCTGCCATAACCTTCAGATGGCGCATTTTCCAGACTCGAGGATATAGGTGGTAGATTACAGCCAAACTCACCTGTTTGGGTCACCTTGACTATTAAGGGAAATCAAATCTTCTGAAAACAGGGATCTTGCCAGTTGTACTGTAAGCCTGAAGCAAAGTGTTTTATCCCTAGGCCATGTAGCTTACAGTCAGCTTAACAGCAGGGTTATTTTGAAAGAACTGATGTTATTCTGAAATAACATTGTCTGCGTCTACACTACAAGCCATTATTTCAACATAATGTCAAAATAATGTTGAGCTGAAGGACTTCTTACTCCGACTCCTGTAACCCTCATTTTACGAGGCGTAAGGGAAGTCAAAGGAAGACTGCTCTAACTCAGACTTCCTGCTGTGCTTGGTAGCTTATTTCGGCTTTCGCTTTGCGGTGTAGACGTACCCCCAGAAAATCAGAGCTGTACCTGACTCCCTAATAACCCCAACCCCTGCTTATAAATTCAGCTCAGCAGAGAATCTGTCCCTAAGTCTATCATGGAAGATCACTGTTGGATTACTAAAGATGGAACCAAACACCCACAAATGTTGGTAGTCTGAAATCCAGATCTGAGTTTCTATGTCATTGCCCGGGCAGTGTTCACTGAGCGAGGGGGCGCCCACCCAGGAAAGATTCAGGTGCCGCCCAGATGATTAGCAGAGCGCCCACAGCCGGCAGCTTGTGTTTCTACGGGTGGTGCACATCTGCACATAACAATTTATTCTGCACCATGGATGGAGAAAATTAGAGGGAACATTGCCTGGGACCATCTTAAGCCATTGTTAATGCAGCTGATAACTGAGAAAGCATGAGGGGTGATCTCCTCCTTCCTTTCCATGTGAACTTCTGCCGGGTTGATGGGAAGCTAAAACACCTGTGAACCTTCCTGTAAATGCACAGATGAATGTGTCCCATTGCTGATTCATGTACAATGCCTACTGCATTCCAGTTCCATTACTGGGAGTGGGTTGGGTGAGAGACTCTGGAGAGAGACAATCCCTGTCTGTGCTTCACTGAACATTGTTACGGACACTGACTTCCGTCCACTGAGTTATTTATATCCCCATTATTAAGCTTGGCCTGTTCTTCCTGGCTGGGATTACAGTGCTCCTGAAGGGTTGGGAGCTGCGGAGACAAAAGGTGTTAGCTGCTTTTGGCTCCCACCCTAGAAGGAAATGAGGTTTCTGACACTATCGGCATTTGAACTTGACAATCTTCCTCATCATCTGCAGGTCATACTCTCAGCGCTCGTGAGTCAGGGACACTCCTTAGCTTGCTTACCACGGGGGAAGGGGCACCTTCTCAGGGATCGCTGACTGTTCCCCATTGCACCTCTGCTCTGGCTGGCAGACCGAGAACAAGGCTGGGTACGCAAAGGATGTATTCACTTAGCAGTTATTCATGTCAAGAAGTTTCTCTGTATCAGGGCAGGCCTACCCATAGAAGTTGGACCAGTTTCATCAAAGAGGTGATGGTAAACTGAGTTAAATGGGGGCATCCTTGTATGTGGACATTGATTTAAATCAGATTTATATCAATGTAGCTTATACCTGTAGATGACGGCAGTGGTGAAAGTCAGCGAGTGCGCCTGAGTGCGCAGCTCTGGCAAGAGCCGGCAGAGCTGCGGCAAAAGCCGGAGGGGAGCTATTGAAAGAGTTAGCAGAGACCTGGATCACAATAGGACAGGACCTGTAAGAAATGGGAAGTTCCTTTCACCGCTGGATGACGCTGTAACTTTCTGTGTAAACCGGGCCTCAGCGCATGGGCCGGACACCAACAGAGTCAAGCCTAGTCTGCTCCATGCTGGAATGTGTTTGTCAGGGACTTCCTGTAGGACAGCTGGAAGACTGTTGCACCGTATCTCCAGGTGTGCTGCCATAACAGCTCTAAAAACACAGGTCTGCAAGTCGTGGCTTTCTGCCCCTCCTCCTCATTTCCCAGCTCAATTAAGCAACAATGTGTTTTCTGTGCTGCCTGCTTCCCGGCTCTCTCGTGTGTCAGTGGGTTTCTCTTCTTCTTGCGTGTTGGGGCATGAAGAGGGAATGCTGAGACAACAACACTAGAAGCAATCACAGCAGGTCACTCTTTTGGATCCCAAACCCCAGATGCACAGTTGTACTGGCTGGACAGGTGACCTGGCTTGGCTAATCTGGCAGTATTGTGGAACCTGCAGGATGACAGTGACCAGCAACTCACCCAAACCAGTCCACAAGGAGGTTAGAGAAGGGCTGGCTCTCAACGCTCATCCTTGGCAGAGACGCCCTTGGTGGGAATGCACTGCTTAGACCCGAAAGAGTCAACAGGGGAGCTGTCTGAGCAGCTAGGTGGATCTCTGGCTAGCTCTATTACGGACTGTGTCTACTTTCCTCACTCCTAATTCCTGCCTTCCTCAGCATGGCCTCACTTGTTCCCCGTTCCTGCCTCACTACAGGTCCCTGCTCCCACGTTCTACACTGACATGATGCCAACTCAAGCTTCAGCCCCGGCTTGACTCCTGACTTTGTCTCCAGCTCTGACCTCTGGGCCATCGGGTTTGGAATTCTGTTTCTTTAATGGGCCTACATCTGAAAATTCAAAGGACAGCACAACATCTCTCTTCCTCTTTAACCCTACTAAAATCTAAGCATCGGTGCAATGGTATAGCCAGCATGGCGGTGTAGAGAAGAGCAAGGTCTAGGATTCAAGAGAGCTTGGTTTTTTTCCCAGGTCTGCCACTGACTTACTGAGTGACCTTGAGTAAATTAATTGGGTCCCAGTTCTAAAGAGGTCCATCTTTTTTGGGGTGTGTGTCCGTCATTGGGATGCCAATTTAAGCCACCTGGAGCATAGTCTTCAGAGGTGATGAGTACACTCAACTCCCACTAGCCCTTATTTCTTAACCCCTGTAGGGGTATGTCTACACTGCCACCCTAGTTCGAACTAGGGTGGCTAATGTAGTCATTCGAAGTTGCAAATGAAGCTCAGGATTTAAATATCCCAGGCTTCATTTGCATCTTGCCGGGCACCGCCATTTTTAAATCCCCGTTAGTGCAGACTCCGTGCCCGCAGCTACACGCGGCACGGAGTAGGTAGTTCGAATTAGGCTCTCTAATTCAAACTACCGTTACACCTCCAATAAACTGAGATGATCCTTTTCCAATGAGTCTCTTTGAACTTCCTAATAAATGAGCTTTTAAGCATCTATGTCTGGTTAGCTTCAACTTTATACTTGTCTTAGTTGGTGTCAGTGGGTTTCTCTAGTGAAAGTAAAATACTTACTAGGAACATAAATAACAGATGTTCATAATCATATGATGAAAGATGAATGGAAATATCCAAAGTCTTGAAGGACAGTTTTTCAAGAAGGTGCATATTTTGATGGCACATCTCTGAGCTATTAACAAACAGACTGTTTCAATTTAAATGGGTAACCTGAGAAAACACTGAAAAATATGAATAACATTGTTTCTAACTAAACAAAATGAGCTAGTCTGAGGGAAACGAATGATCATTCGAATCTCAATGATTAGTCTTCACACAACAGCTGAAATGATTGCACAATGCTGCACGAATGCGTGGACTGGAAATAACAGCCAGGTTTCCTACATCAGGGTGCAACCAGCTTTTTCGGATCGTTTTGATTCTGAGCATTTTCACATCTCTTGGTCTTACTCCTGGTGAAAAGTTCTGGACCACATACTGGAAACTATAAACGTCCATTCACAACTCATGTGCCACGTATACGGGGACGTGGCATCAAAGTGCCACACACGTGACCTGAAGTGACCGCTCTCTGAAGTTGAACTGAGAACACTGGATCACTGCACTAAAGCTGCTGAATAATCCTTTGTCTTCCTGCTTATCGGAGCTGAAAGCACAGCAGCAGCCTAAAGATAAAAAAATCCATGCCATTAGCAGTCCTTAAGTTATATAGTCCCCTGGTTACACAGAACAAGCCTTGGTCTCAAAAGTGGAGGAGAGAAAGAGAGGAAAGAGCACAAAAAAAGGCATTCAATTAGCTGGCTCAGCTTTTCCTGAGGGAGCAGGTTGTTCTGTGGCTCCCTTTGTAGCTGTGTTTTCATCACCTTCTACCTCCACTGGCTAATGGTGTTTTCAGACATTTGAAAAAAATCGGGAAAATGCTGATGACCAGACTGTGAGCAGCTGTGAATCGTTGTAGCATAGAAATCAATGGATCGAAATCAATTTACATGACCGGTTGGACCTCCCTGGCCTGGCACCTTTGGGACTTGACCGGTCCTGAACCGGGGAGCTTGCCAAGCCAGGGGAGGTTGATGCCAGCGCCTCTGCTCCTGTCCTCCAGGTTCTGCTCCTGGCTGCTGGACCCTGCTCATCCCCCTGCTCCCGGCTCCCAGCCCCAGCCCGAGCCGCTGGGCTCCGACTTCCAGCCTCCTGCCATGGCCACTGGGAACTGCTCCTGGCCTGAGCTGCTGGGTTATTCTGCCAGCTGCCAGGCACCTTGACCCCCTCCCTCGCCACCAGGCTCAGGCCCTCAGGACTGGCTGCTGGGGTCCAACCCTCCCGGCCCTCCCCAGCCGCCAGCCCAGCTCTCTGTGGTCATGGTGCACTGTTTTTTCCCCATGAGTGTTCCAACCCTAGAGCACCCATGGGATCCCTGATGATGCCGGACCACGGATGTTGCCAGACAAGACAGTCCTGGACTACAGAGGTTCACCCTGTAGCTAAGATTCTGGCCTTCGTAGATAGTAAGGGACCAACTGTGAGAAAGTAGTCTCGTTGCCTGTCATATTGGATAGGAGACAGATCTGCAGATTCCAGATTTGAGTAGGCCTGGCTTGCTGCATTTAGACTTATCTGTACATTATTTATTTGTATTTTATTTAATGTAGTGGTAACACATAGGGGACCAGTCCTGGAGCAGCTCCATGTTGCACTAGATGCTGTAGAAACAAACAGAAAATTCCTGCCCCAAAGGACTTACAATCTAAGTGAAATTAGATTTCTACCTTTCTACATGTAAATGAGAACCTGTTACTTGGTAGCAGCTCCGATAGAAATCTCACAGCATTTATACAATTTAGAGCAAATAAATGACAATACTGAGCCAACGGATGGGGTCATTTGGTTTGGGGGTTTCCCCATATTTGATGGAACTGCCCTAAAGTTTAAAAAAATGATGGAGGAATAGACCATAATAATGAGTTAACAGGTCGATTTACCTCCCATGTATGTTTTTCTGGGTTGGATGATGTCAAAGGATGATCTGTAGCTAAAATGAAACAGCATTGCTCCATTGACCTCAACAGAGCGAGGTCAATTTGCACAAACTGAGGGTCTGCCTCCAAATCTGTAAGGGTCACTGTTTATTGCCCCATCAGCTTCTACTCCAATCCGCTTCCATACTAGTGACCTACAAGTTTAGAGTTGTGGCTTTACTCTTGCTGTCCTGCCTGTATTTGTTGCTTGTTTTCAGTACGTTACTTCATTGGCCTGAATCTTATCCAGTTTTGGTTCTGGGTGTTCCAGCATCTGTGGAATTAATTGGCTTGGGGGGCTGCAATGCAGAGCCCAGCTGCAGAAAGGCTGTCTCACACTCATGCCTGTCATTTGCACTTGCTCATCGTTAATTGGCAAGGAACTTGTTCCTTACTTAGGACTGAGACCCTGTACTAATTCCAGGGAAAAACTTACGCACGCAGCCCCTGAGGGGCTGACAGGAGTATACATGTTGCACCATTTCCCATCACACAAGTGTACCCACCTGCGATCGGAACGCCCATACTGGTCTGCCTCCCACTCATTGTCTGGGCGACTGAGCAAGCCCATTCTTCAGGGAATCAGCATACAGATCTCCTCGTGAAAAGGAAGAAGTAAATTAGAAATATTCATGAGAACATGTTCATATACTCCTAACTTGAACCAGGGTCTCTAACCCTTAGGAAATTCTTAAAAAACAACAAATGGACTGGTAGCACTTTATAGACTAACAAAACATGTAGATGGGATCATGAGCTTTTGTGGGCACAGCCCACTTCTTCAGATGACCAGAGTTTGGAGTTTAGGATGTGCAGACCCAAAATAAATAGGGGAGAAGGGGGGGGAAGCAGTGGGCGGGAAACAGGGAGCAGAGGGTATGAAAATATCCATGGGAAAAACCTTAGCTTGAACCAGTCCTCATGAGAAATCCACTTCCTGGACACTAGAGTACAATTAAATAATGGACTAATTTCCATCACCCTATACCAGAAATCCACCGACTGCTCCACTTACCTTCATACCTCCAGCTTCCATCCCAGGCATATTTCTCAATGTATTGTATACAGCCAAGCCCTAAGATACAACTGGATTTACTCTGATCCCACAGACAGAGACAAACACCTACAGGATCTATATAGAACATTCCTAAAACTGAAAATACCCACCTGGAAAAGTGAAAAAACAGATGGATAGAGCCAAAAAAGTACCCAGACATGAGCTCCTCCAAGACAGACCCAAAGGAGAAAATAACAGAACTCCTCTTGTTATTACCTATAGTCCACAACTCAGACCCCTCCAATGTATTATACACAATCTGCAACCCATCTTGGAAAATGATCCCTCACTCCCAGAGGCCTTGGGGGAAAAGCCCATTCTTGCTTACAGACAGCCCCCCAACCTGAAACAAATTATTTCCAGTCACCATGCTACACAACCGCATCGTAAGCATCCAGGAACCCGGAACCCAGCCCTGCAATCAGCCGCGGTGCCAACTCTTCCCTCAAAACTATACAAGCCAATTCATCATTGGAGCCAACAACATAAGCTACCAAATCAAAGGCTCATTTAACTACACATCCAGTAATTTGATCTATGCCATCAAATGCCAGCAATGCCCCACTGCTATATATATTGGACAAACTGGACAGTCCCTATGGGAAAGAATCAATGGACACAAATCAGATATATGTAAAGGGAACATACAGAAACCTGCTGGAGAACGACTTCAATCTACCTAATCACTCTTTAAAAGATCTCCAGGTGTCTGTCTTGTCACAAACCAATTCTACAAGCCAAATACACAGAGAGGCGTTAAAATTACAATTCATCCACAAAATCAATTCTCACACTGATAACCTCCTCAATCTAGATAATAGATGGCTGGGACATTATCAACCTAACATTCAATGAAGGTGCCAACAGCTCTTTGTCTGTGTAGATTCTTGCATTAGTACCCTTTCTGTCTAATTGCTATCCTATGATCCTTATCTGCTTCTTTTTAGCTATCCAATCTTCAAGTGTTTATAGATTACCAGTTCTGCCCACTTGTTTTTCCCTTTGATATTTTCATACCCTCTGCTCCTTGTTTCCTGCCCTCCCCCTTCCTTTTTTCCCCTTCTCCCCTCTCCTTTCTCCCCTATTCATTTTGAGTTTGCACATCCTAAACTCAAAACTCCAGTCATCTGAAGAAGTGGGCTGTGGCCATGATCTACATAGACTACATGTTTTGTTAGTCTATGAAGTGCTACCAGACCATTTGTTGTTTTTTAAGTTTCTCCTGTACAGATTAACTTGGCTACCTCCTGATATATATATATAAAGGAGGAAGTTCCTTATCTGATGAAGTGGGTTTTACCCACAAAAGCTTATGCCTAATAAATCTGTTAGTCTCTAAGGTGCCACTGGACTCTTTGATTTTTGGTTTATTCTTGAAATAGAGAGCCATTTGTTTCCAAGTGTTTTCACAGTTTGGCCAAATAACTTTTCCTGCCTCCCCATGCAACAACAGGGATCCAAAAATAAAGGATTACCAGTGTATCTCATTAGCTAGCTGTCCTTAATGTGTGAGCCTGTGGCAAAGACCCTAGACTGCCATTAATCCAGCTTGGAGGTGAGTAATTAATTAAAACTCCTTGACAGTGTAAGGCACTCCTGGGACCTGTTCTTTCCTCACACCTCTTTCTATTTACTGTTTCAGACACACCATAACTGAGACATTGGCAGAGCTCAGTGGCAGTCTTGTGTGACACATTTTGTTCTGCTCCAGCTCAAAAACAGAGCCCCTCCCCCCTCCTGTGTCACGAATATTTGTGATGTAATTTCATTCCCAACTTTTGGAATGTATTGGAAAACAACAGCATGCAACTCATTCAAGGTGCAGTCAATAGTCTTCCCGCTCATGGCCAGACATTAGGGGAAGTAGAGACTCCAGACAGTGGCTAATCCCTGTGTTCACTAGAGGGCTATGCATTCAGGGTCACATAAGGAAACCTGAGCCTCTCTGGATTTATATTTGTTTGTCTTGTACGGGTCATTTCTGGGGCCACAAGCCAGCAGAACTTGATCTCATTTTAAAATTGAAATAATCTGTGAAGTCAGGATCTCACATAGACATTCACAGAAATAAACATTAATCTTTGCCAGCTCACTGTCACACATATCCATATTTACTGACCTTTCCCCACCAGCTACAAAGTTCCTCCATGTGTTACATGCACTGCTATTAATTGGTTTATTGGTGATACACCAATAATAATGAGAATAAAAAAGAAACAATAAATAATAGACCAAATTCTCAGCTGGCAAAAATTGATATTGTGCTATTGACCTTTAACAATACTTAGCTTCTAGAAAATAATGATGATGATAATAAATAATACCGAGCTTATATAGTAATTTTCATTAACAGATCTCAAAGTACTTTACAAGGGAGATAAGTATCACTGTTGTCATCTTACAGATGGGGAAACGGAGGCACAGAGATAGGAAGTGACATGCCCAAGGTCTCTCAGTTTAGAGCAGGGAGCAGAACACAAGTACAGGCAGTCCCCGGGTTACGTACAAGATAGGGACTGTAGGTTTGTTCTTAAGTTGAATTTATATGTAAATCGGAACTGGTACATATTGTAGGGGAAACTCTAGCCAAACATTTCTCCAGAGCTCAGTTTTATTCTCCCACACCTCACTTCCCTCAGTCCTTTATTCTCAAGCTGAGGTGTCTGCTGAGAAAAACTGCTCCGCGTCTCCCTGGTCTGCTGGGGAGGGGCGCTAGCTTCGCGTCTCCCTGGTCTGCTGGGGGGCATTTGTAAATAGGGATCTGATGTAAGTCGGATCCATGTAACCCGGGGACTGCCTGTATTTTGGTTTCCAGTCCAATAACTGAAGGTAGCCTAAAGAATGTAAATTACCTGATGAGGGCTGGATTGTGATACCCTCACTTGCCTAGAGTTGTCCCCTACTTCTTGAATGGTCCTTCATTTCAAGGGAATCATTCAAGAAGTAAGGTTCTACTTGAGCTGAGTAGAGTGCTCACTATCTGGTCTGGATTTGACCTGGATAATCTTGCAAGTAACTAATGTGGTGATAGACTCAACTGAAATGAAGAGTCATCAAAGACAAGATTGTCCTATGATGCTTAAGAATATTGACTGTTGGAAACCATGCACAGAAGATGCTTTCTTTTGTTATTCAGAGCTCTGTGGAGCCCTCTGGATTAAGAATATGTGTTTGAATAAACTAGTGTAACTGCATGAGGGTCTCAGTCCCGGTCTGCATTAGAGAGAGAGTTTGGGTCTGAATTCAAAGTGTTCATTTGTAAGTTCTTCTCAGAAAATTTTGGTCCAACATGGCAGAAATTTCACAGCATCAACTGCTGTCACAAGTCTCCTTCTACCCATTTGGAAGTTTGTACTGGGTTGAGAGTGATTTCCTGTCCTTACAGTGAGGACTACTCCTCCAGCAACACTGTTAAAGTATCACAAGTTGGTAGGAAACGTGACCAGAAAATAATAGAATTCCATTTGTCATTTCCTACAGTCTACAACTCCAACCCTTCCAACACCTTATCCACAATCTACAACCCATCTTGGAAAAAGATCCCTGACTCTCAGAGGCCTTGGGGGAAAGGCCTATTCTCACTTACAGACAAGCCCCCAACCTGAAACAGATTCTTTCCAGTAACCATGATACACAGCTACATCATAAACATCCAGGAACCCAGCCCTGCAATCAGCCACGGTGCCAACTCTGCCCACATATCTATACAAGCAAATTCATTACTGGAGCCAACAACATAAGCCACCAAATCAGAGGCTCATTTAACTGCACATCCAGTAATTTAATCTATGCCATCAAATGGCAGTAGTGCCCCACTGCAATATATATGGGACAAACTGAACAGTCTTTACAGGAAAGAATTAATGGACACAAATCAGATATCCGTAAAGGGAACATACAAAAACCTGTCAGGGAGCACTTTAATCTTCCTGGGCATACATTAGCATATCTTCAACTAGCTGTTTTGTTACAGACCAATTCCATAAGCCAAATACACAGGGAAGGACTGGAACTACAATTCATTCACAAGTTCAGTTCTCATACCTATGGTTTGAATAAAGATACTGGATGGCTTGGTCATTATCAGCCTACTAAACAATGAAAGCAACAATGGTTCTTTGTGTATGTAGAATGTCATGATACCATCTACATGTTTTGTTAGTCTTTAAGTACTGGCAGACTATTTGTTGTTTGCTAATTAATGTTTTTTATCTGCCTCTTTTGACTATCCAGACTGAAGGGTGTGTCTACACTTGCACCCTCTTTCGAGAGAGGGATGCAAATGAAGACATTCAAAATTGCAAATGAAGCCGGGATTTAAATATCCCACGCTTTATTTGCATAATCACATTATGGCGCTATTTTGAAATACAAAACGCGGTTTAAATGCGGTTATTTCAGGAGAACACCCTTCTTCCGAAATAACTGTTAAACCTCATTTTATGAGGAATAAGGGTTATTTCAGAAGAAGTGTGTTCTCCCGAAATAACCGCATCTACACCGCATTTTGTATTTCGAAATAGCACCATAATGGGATTATGCAAACGAAGCGCAGGATATTTAAATCCTGGCTTCATTTGCAATTTTGAATGTCTTCATTTGAATGTCTTTAAAGTGCTACCAGACTATTTGTTGTTTTTTAAGTTTATCCTTTACAGACTAATTTGGCTACCCCCTGAAGCTTCTATGTATGGAGGACATTTTCCTGAGATCCTTGTGGTCTTGGGAGAGTTCAGGTAATGAAAATAGCCCTTGTGCGTTTTTGGCCATCACCATAACCAGGAAGTAGCCCTGTTCTGGTACGGAATTCTACCTGAAACCACTATGATAAGTAGAGGGGCTCTACCAAATTCATGGTCTGGCTCTGTAGTTCTAAAATGTTGGCAAGTAGAGAACAATTCCGTTTGGAGTTTTCATACAGTATGACAGACTCTGTAACATTTACAATGGGTAGAGCACAGGGAATAGAAGCAGGACCTAAATCATTTCCCACATGGATGCTGTCATCAATTTGCCATTGAAAGAAGTTCCTCTACAGCACATACCTTAGGAAACAATCCTGTGATCGTTTGTAAAAGAGCCCGAGGGATTAATTAATACATCTCATCCTCTTAATCATGGGAGCCAACAACCTCCAGGGTTCCCCGGGGCAAGGTTTGTGTGTGTATCTGGCTCCATGTTCCTGGAAGGGGCAGGGCTTTGGCAGAAGAGGCGGGACTGGGTTAGGGTTAGCGCTACTCGGATTGCTTTGAATCCTCAGGTCCCGGGGCAAGTGCCCCCTGCTGTCCAGTCCACCCGCCTGCTCTTAATTCAGGTGATTCCTGCAGATTGGAGTGATGCGCATGTGACCTCTGGAGGATCTGAGCTGTAACTGCAGCAGTGGCACTGTCATCCAGTTCCTGAAAAGTTTTGAAAACTTCCCTACCACACAAACAATGCAAACTAAAAGTTTATTCGCTGGTGAGGACTCCTCCATGGATGTCATGCTCATAGCTGCTCTCTTCGGGTATATCTACACTTGCACCCTCTTTCAAGAGAGGGATGCAAATGAAGACATTCGAAATTGCAAATGAAGCTGGGATTTAAATATCCCATGCTTCATTTGCATATTCACGTTATGATGCTATTTCGAAATAACAGATGCTATTAAGACGCGGTTATTTCAAGAGAAAACCCTTCTCTCGAAATAACTGGTAAACCTCATTGTATGAGGAATAAGGCTTATTTCGAGAGAAGGGGTTTCTCTTGAAATAACCACATTTTAATAGCATCTGTTATTTCGAAATAGCATCATAACGTGAATATGCAAATGAAGCATGGGATATTTAAATCCCAGCTTCATTTGCAATTTCGAATGTCTTCATTTGCATCCCTCTCTTGAAAGAGGGTGCAAGTGTAGACATACCCTTCTAGACTATCTGTCAGTAGGGAAAAAAGATCTACTTCTTCTTGAGCAGTGTACTCTGTGCCGCTTTCCAGTTCTTTTTGTAGCACCACTCACCTAGATAAATAGACTTCAACAACTAGTGATTTCTGATTCCACAGGACTCACCCGTATTTATCTGCTTTTCCTGTGGATTTTACACCTTTGATACAAATCTCTTTAAATGCTTGTGCTATTCAGTTCAATGAGGCTCTTTGTGAGGCCGAATAACACAGGAGTCTGTTAACAAAGGGGAAATGGTATCTCTTTGGAACCGAGCCATACACCTTGCACAAAGGGTCTTGGAACTTAAGAGAAGGACAGAACTTAAAACTCAGGCAGGCTGAAGAGGGAAATCAGGTGAGCAACCATGCTAATAAATCTTTGCAGAGACAGCAGCCAATCTGACATATCCGAGTGAGGTTCTTTCCGCTTTCCCAAAGGCCTGCTGTCTCTGGGGGGAGTTATGATTAGGCAAAAAGCCACAGCTGAAGATCCTGAGTAGGTGTTAACGGAGAGGAAGGGGCTATGGGCTCTCACCTGGCTCTGCAGGACGTGTTGGATTCAGTCCAATTTCAGCTTCCTGCAAGGTATGAAGGGATCAGCCTGAGAAGTGGCTGCCTTAGGGCTCACGTAGCATGGGGAAGAGTGTAGCAGTGTTGGTTTCCTTGGTACCTGTGTGTTTCTGAGTGAGCTATTGTCCTGTTGCTCTGATTTTGGGGGTTCGGGCTAGGGGGAGGGATCAGGAGATTTTAGAGCCTCCTTCTTTGCAGGCTGGTAGCCAGAGAACCCTGTTGTTTATCCTGTCTCCAAGCCAGGAGTTCTTTCACTGACTGCTTGGGGTAAGTGAGGTTAATAGATTGGTAGTTGTCCTCTCTGGAAACCCTGAGAGATGCATCAGGTGGCAGAATCTGCTTCCCCCACCTATAAATATTAAGGCTCAGGACTGCTGAATGTTCAGTTTTAGCCCCTTCTAGGGTTGCCAGGTGTCCAGTTTTGAACCGGACAGTCTGGTATTTGAGCTTTCTGTCTGGGAAACAAATTGAGAAAATACTGGACATATAAATGTCTGGTATTTTCTAATTAAATTGTATTATTATCATGAGTATCAGTACGTAGTTGCGTACTACCTGGCTGGTAGATGTGCTCACATTGCATGAGCACGTCTACCAGCCAGGCAATATGCAACTACGCAGTGGGGGGGGGCCGGGGCCGGGGCTGGGGCTGGGGCCGGGGTCAGGGAGGGAGGGAATCCCCGGGGCTGGACTCACTCGTGCTTCGTCGGGACCATGCACGGGATGGGCAGCGCCCCGGGATCTGCGTGTGCCCGGGTCAGTCCCGCTTCCTGCCAGTTGATTTGCTCCCCCCAATCTCTCCCGTCCAGCCCTGCTTCTGGCGGCTGGTACTCCCGTCCTCTTCCTCCTGATCTCCCCCAGCCAGCCCCCCCACCCTCTGCAGCCCTGGTTACGCTGCCTGCCCTCTCCGATCGCCGCCGCCGGACAGCCCCCCTACCCCCAGCCCT